GCAAAACCCTTTCACCTGTAAAGGGTTAAGAAGCTAAGATAACCTCGCTGGCACCTGACCAAAATGACCAATGAGGAGACAAGATACTTTCAAAGCTGGAGGGTGGGAGGGAACAAAGGGTCTGTCTGTCTGTGTGATGTTTTTGCTGGGAACATACAGGAATGCAGCTCAGAACTCCTGTAAAAAGTTAGTAAGTAATCTAGCTAGAAATGCGTTAGATTTCTTTTGTTTAATGGGTGGTAAAATAGCTGTGCTGAATGGAATGTATATTCCTGTTTTTGTGTCTTTTTGTAACTGAAGGTTTTGCCTAGAGGGATTCTCTATGTTTTGAATCTGATTACCCTGTCAGGTATTTACCATCCTGATTTTACAGAGGTGATTCTTTTATCTTTTCTTCAATTAAAATTCTTCTTTTAAGAACCTGATTGCTTTTTCATTGTTCTTAAGATCCAAGGGTTTGGGTCTGTGTTCACCTATGCAAATTGGTGAGGATTTTTATCAAGCCTTCCCCAGAAAAGGGGGTTTAGGGCTTGGGGGGATATTTCGGGGGAAGATGTCTCCAAGTGGGCTCTTTCCCTGGTCTTTGTTTAAAACTCTTGGCGGTGGCAGCATACGGTTCAAGGACAAGGCAAAATTTGTACGGTGGGGAAGTTTTTAACCTAAGTTGGTAAGAATAAACTTAGGGGGTCTTTCATGCAGGTCCCCGCATCTGTACCCTAGAGTTCAGAGTGGGGAAGGAACCTTGACACATGTTAAGGTTGCCAAGTGCAGCATTAACTTACAACAGGCACTTTGTTCCACAGAAGGGTGTCATACAGCCTGAGTGGACATTCCGCTTGCTGTGAAAAAGGATACAGCTTTTATTTTCATTTAATGTCCGTTATTAAAATATTATGTGGATATCCTGGGATGCAAGCATCAGGGCATGTTTGTTAGCATTGTGTTTGTTCATGAAAACAAAACATTCAGTTCAAGCCGAGCTATATATCACACTGTCATCGGCAAATGGTGCCTTGTTGAAAATCTATCAAAGAAAGCTGACTTATCTTGCATGTGCTGCTTTACAGCAAATAGGACCGCAGTAAACTCTTGTGCCATAATGATTTTCTGTCTTTCTTGATGAGACATAATGAGATAAATTCAAGACCTTTTTGAAGGCTAATTACATATTGTACACTCTAGACATCAGTTGTCCTTGTTAGATGATGTGCATTTTTTGCTTTCATTTAATCTTCTCTGTTGTCTGCGTATGCATGTGAATTTGGCTTAACTTTGAAATATAAATTGGGATTAGGGTGTATTTTTTCTCCCCCAAATCTCTGCAGATATTCTACTGTAACACAATGCATCATTAGAGATAAGGCAAAACTTGGAGGTAGATGTGAATTAAATAAAAGGCCTGAATTTCAGGCATGGAGCAGGGGATGGTGCCATAAACCATGCCAGTTCTTGAGTAGTTTATGAACAACCCTCCAGAATAAATTCAAATCTGAGCGTGCTATCGGGCGATGCATTTCTGTTATTTATAGGGATGGTTATGGCCAGATTTTCAAAAGTTCTCAGCACCCACAACTGGGAGCACATTTTAAATGCAGTTTAGCACCAGCTTATTTAGGTGCCTGAGTGGAAATAGCTTGGTGCTGAGCTCTTTTGGATATTGGGCCGTTACATTTTCATTTTAAATTTAAAGGTGTAGCCAATGATTTTAGTTTATTGTTCATTTATTGTGTGATGTTTTAACTAACTAACATGTTATGTCATATATAATCACTGTATGCTAAATAGAGTTAAATTATAGGATTATAAAAGTGCAAGATTGATCAGCATGTAGAGGGAATAATCATGTATCAGGTATCTAAGAAAGTAGGGCTGAAACGCAAGACCTGTAGGCTGAGGCTTGTAAGATTTTAGCTTAGCCATATGTAAGCCATAGAGTTAAGGAACGCTGACATAAGTAAGTGACCAAAGAATAACTCGATGCCCTAAGATTACAGGAAAAGATGAACTAATGGGTGATATTGCAAAAAATTAACAGTAAAGGTAATATTTTACTTACAAGATACCTGGTAATCACATTTTTCTAACACATGCCCTAACCACAGAGTGTAATATGTGCAGAAATGCTAATGATGTATAGTCAGAATCACATTATAAAAAAGGGGGTGCCTAGATTAGGAAAATTGAGCTCCCTATGGGAAACTCCAGCAGGAACCATCCCTCTACTGATGAGCAATCCATGAGAGACCCATCAGACCCTAACGCTATTGTTAAGGATGTGAGTAGCGCTATATTTCTAACTTGTGCATAGGTCTGTATAGATTTTCTATACGCTTGGGTAATCATAACTTTAATTGTAACTTTAATAAAACTTGTAGAACATACTAGACCTTGGGCTTGTGAATGTCTGTGTGGTTGCTACCTTTGGTCCTTATGTGTCCCTAAAGACTCTACATCTAAAACAAGTAGCAGAGGTGACTTTCACTCTCTTAAGCTTGAAACTATAGCCACCAAAGTCGAACCCGTGATGGTGTAATACTACGTTACAAAATTCACATTAAATACAATAAAAAGCTACAAAGGTTACCCTTTAGCCTTTTTGAAAAGCTAAAATTTCTTGTCAATATCATGGACCAAGTATAATGACTGCCCTTAAACACTTTCCCGTTGTCTTAAATATATAACATTACCTAAATGTATGCACCAATCCCTTTTCGAAGTGTAAGGAAGGTTAAGAACTACTGCCGCTGCTAAGGTGACCATGTCTAAGGTCGCTGTTTGATGGTTGGTCTCTCTCTTGTCTTGTCCATCTTGTAATCATTGTACTCACTCTGTCTCCTCCTCTCCAGAAGCAAGAACTGTCAATCACCCATGGTATATAGACCATGGAGGGTTTCTATGCACTCTTGACACACTGCCATGTTTCTTGTTTGTTTCTGAATTGCAGCCACATTCACAGGAGCTGTTGTTTTAATCTAGGGTGCCTTTCCCTATCGGGGGGCGGAGGGAGAACTGAAATCAGAGCAGCTTTTGCATCACCCTGTTGTCATAATAACTTCTTAAGGTGTCGTGCTACAGTGTCCAATCAGAAGAAGCAATATACAGGAGGTGTGATGAGAGAATGACATCTTTCATATGTGCAGAGACTAGAAATTGGCTAACTGCATAATTTACCCTGACCCATTTAAAAAAAAAAAATCCACACTTCATCCAACATGATGGCAAAATTTTGATCTCAGATCCATGCAGTAGATCTTAAAAACTGACTCTGTAGTTGTACATCATGTTGTTGTGGTGGTAGTGAAGATTTTAATAGTTGCCAATACTCTGAATATCAGCTCATTTTCTTCGCACAATATTTGCTATGCAAGAACTTTGAATGACAGATTGAAAGTCTTTTTAATTTCCATGTACCTTCTGTAAGTATGTCGGAGTGCCTGTGTATCATTAGTAACAGGATGGTCATAATTATTTTACAGTGATTCTCAAGGAATCAGAAAAGTAACAGCATTTTGGAGCTGGCAAACTGGATGTGTGTGTCTATTTTCGATTTCAGAAATGGCAGGAAATCAACTTCCCAAGAGGATCTATCTGAACTTTAATTTTCCTTGTACTGGTGATTGTAGATCCAGCAATTAAAGAGCTAGTTTGTTTTCTTTTAAAGGCCAGAGACACGTGCAAAACCGTACATACATTTATCATGGTTGACTGTGAAAATGTGGTGAATGAGTGCAGAAAAATGATCCGATTTTTCCAAAGGGCTCAGCACCAGTAGCTCCTAGTTACACTTATGTTGACTGGCCAGATTTCTAGAAGGTGGAGGACCCAGCCTTTCCCACTGAGCTCAATAGGCACAGTAAACTGAAAATCTAGCCCTTAATCGCCAAGGATCTGATCCTGCAAGTCGGGGATGCTCAGCACCTTGCAGGAAGAGCAACCAATGAACTTTGAGCCTGTGCTGACAGTTCCTTGAAATCAGACACAATTAATGTATGCATTTCAAAGTGCCAAAGGGAGGAAAAGAATCCCCCAACCCAACCTCGTCCGGTATATGGGAAAAAAGAGAACAAAAATAATAGCTTTCAGTCTGTAAGGCCCATCATACATATACATTACAGCTAGAGGGAATGTATTATGCAGTGGGCATGTCTGGTTCAGGGGGTACCCACAGATAGCTGTCTTATAGGGAGCAGTTCAAAATTCTTCACAGGTTTTCTGGAAGAAACCCTGGGGAAATAGTCTTATTAGAATGTCTTAAAGCTGTCTGTACAGATATCACCTCCTCTCCAGGACGGCATGATTATTTTATTTGCTGAGACATTGATTTCTGGGCATGGGACATCTTAAACGAAAACCACAAAACATATTTTACCGCTCTCCTAAGCTGTGTCTAAGAATGAGTGAGAAAGCAATACTTTGATGTTTTCCAAATCAGAGATAGAAGCCAGAAGATCTGTTACGTCTGATACATTCAGCAAGGAAAATAAATATCTGACAAAGGCAGCTGCAAGAGAAATCAATGGCCAAAATGGTCTCATTCTCTTCTGCACAAATATTTTAAACATGTACCACATATTAACATGAAAATCTCCTATCTCCCTCTTGTGTGTTTTAAATAATTCACGAGCAAATAGCTCATGATTGTTTGTTGTTGTCTCTTTCACTAAGGCTATGTCTACACTGCAGCGGGGGTAATTTCCGGCTAGAGGAGCCATATGGGCACTAGCTCTGCTCAAGCTGACATGCTAAAAATAGCAGCGTGGCCAAGGCAGTGTGGGCCGTGGCTCGGGCTACCTGCCCAAGTTCAGTCCCATCTGCAGCCACGGTGACATTGCTGCATTTAGCATGCTGGCTTGAGCAGAGCTACTCATGAACATCTAGCTGAGCTGGGAATCCCACCTCCCCGCTGCAGTGAAGAGGTCCTCTAAAGAGCTGTGTTAAAAAGAAATGGGACGGGATGAATATTTGCTGGAAGAATTTAGTCTCCGGTTCCTCTCTTACAGTCTGCAGACCTGGATTCTTCAAGGCCTCTCCCCAGAGCCCATCCTGCAGTAAGTGCCCCCCTCACAGCTACACACACGAGGAAGCATCCACCTCCTGTCTGTGTGAAGAACACTATTTCAGAAGGGAATCGGACCCACCTACAATGGCCTGTACAAGTAAGCACGCACTGTGTATCTTTTAATCCGTTTGCACTGTTACGCACAGAGAATGGGCACAATGACAAAAAAAGGTGTTTTTACAGGCTTTGGGCCTGATCCCGACCTGGCTTGTGCTAGTTTTACACTGCTGTAATCCACTGGCTTCATCTAAATTACTCCTGATTTACACCACTATACTTGAGAGTTAAGCATGTGGAACTGGATGTGCAGCGTCTAGAATTGCACGCTGCTGGTGTGCGTCTGTGTGTGTGTTGTAAAATATAAAAGGAAGACTTGTGGCACTTTCGAGACTAACAAATTTATTTGGGCATAAGCTTTTGTGAGCTACAGCTTACTTCACTGGATGCATGCAGTGGAAAATACAGGTGGGAGATTTTATATAGACAGAGAACATGAAACAATGGGTGTTCCCATACACACTGTAACGAGAGTGATCAGGTAAGGTGAGCTATTACCAGCAGGAGAGAAAAAATCGTTTTTTGGTGATAATCCAGGAGGGCCACTTCCAGCAGTTGACAAGAATGTGTGAGGAACAGTTGGAGTGGGGCGGGGGGGAATAAACATGGGGAAATAGTTTTACTTTGTGTAATGACACATCCACTCCCAGTCTTTATTCAAACCTAATTTAATGGTGTCCAGTGTGCAAATTAATTCCAATTCAGCAGTCTCTTGTTGGAGTCTGTTTCTGAAGTTTTTTTGTTGAAGAATTGTGACTTTTAGGTCTGTAATCGAGTGACCAGAGAGATTGAAGTGTTCTCCGACTGGTTTATGAATGTTATAATTCTTCATGTCTGATTTGTGTCCATTTATTCTTTTACATAGAGACTGTCCAGTTTGGCCAATGTACATGGCAGAGGGGCATTGCTGGCACATGATGGCATATATCGCATTGGTAGATGTGCAGGTGAACGAGCCTCTGATAGTGTGGCTGATGTGATTAGGCCTCGTGATGGTGTCCCCTGAATAGATATGTGGACACAGTTGGCAACAGGCTTTGTTGCAAGGATAGGTTCCTGGGTTAGTGTTTTTGTTGTGTGGTGTGTGGTTGCTGGTGAGTATTTGCTTCAGGCTGGGGGGTTGTCTGTAAGCAAGGACTGGCCTGTCTCCCAAGATCTGTGAGAGTGATGGGTCATCCTTCAGGATAGGTTGTAGATCCTTGATGATGCTCTGGAGAGGTTTAGTTGGGGGCTGAAAGTTATGGCTAGTGGCGTTCTGTTATTTTCTTTGTTGGGCCTGTCCTGTAGTAGGTAACTTCTGGGTACTCTTCTGGCTCTGTCAATCTGTTTCTTCACTTCCGCAGGCGGGTATTGTAGTTGTGAGAACGCTTGATAGAGATCTTGTAGGTGTTTGTCTCTGTCTGAGGGGTTGGAGCAAATGCGGTTGTATCATGGAGCTCGTAGAGGCATTGTACGTAGAGCGGTTGTATCGTAGAGTTTCCGTTATAGGGTGGTGTTTATGTGACCATTGCTTATTAGCACTGTAGTGTCCAGGAAGTGGTCATCATCTGGACCCATGGAAGAGAAGCCCTTGAGGAATTCCACCATGATTTCAGCAATTTCCATCCCACCGTCAACCTCAGCCTGGACCAATCCACACAAGAGAGCCACTTCCTGGACACTATCGTGCCAATAAGTGATGGTCACATAAACACCACCCTATACTGGAAACCTACTGACCGCTATACTTACCTACATGCCTCCAGCTTTCATCCAGACCACTCCACACATTCCATTGTCTACAGCCAAGCTCTACGATACAACTGCATTTGCTCCAACCCCTCAGACAGAGGCAAACACCTACAAGATCTCTATCAAGCGTTCTTACAAGTACAATACCCACCTGCTGAAGTGAAGAAACAGATTGACAGAGCCAGAAGAGTACCCAGAAGTTACCTACTACAGGACAGGCCCAACAAGGAAAATAACAGAACGCCACTAGCCGTCACCTTCAGCCTCCAACTAAAACCTCTCCAGCGCATCATCAAGGATCTACAACCTATCCTGAAGGACGACCCATCACTCTCACAGATCTTGGGAGACAGGCCAGTCCTTGCTTACAGACAGCCCCCAACCTGAAGCAAATACTCACCAGCAACCACATACCACACAACAAAAACACTAACCCAGGAACCTATCCTTGCAACAAAGCCTGTTGCCAACTGTGTCCACATATCTATTCAGGGGACACCATCACAGGGCCTAATCACATCAGCCACACTATCAGAGGCTCGTTCACCTGCACATCTACCAATGTGATATATGCCATCATGTGCCAGCAATGCCCCTTTGCCATGTACATTGGCCAAACCGGACAGTCTCTATGTAAAAGAATAAATGGACACAAATCAGACATGAAGAATTATAACATTCATAAACCAGTCGGAGAACACTTCAATCTCTCTGGTCACTCGATTACAGACCTAAAAGTCACAATTCTTCAACAAAAAAAACTTCAGAAACAGACTCCAACGAGAGACTGCTGAATTGGAATTAATTTGCACACTGGACACCATTAAATTAGGTTTGAATAAAGACTGGGAGTGGATGTGTCATTACACAAAGTAAAACTATTTCCCAATGTTTATTCCCCCCCCAAACTGTTCCTCACACATTCTTGTCAACTGCTGGAAATGGCCCACCTTGATTATCACTACAAAAGGTTCCCCCCCGGCTTCCTGCTGGTAATAGCTCACCTTACCTGATCACTCTTGTTACAGTGTGTGTGGTAACACCCATTGTTTCATGTTCTCTGTCTATATAAAATCTCCCCACTGTATTTTCCACTGCATGCATCCGATGAAGTGAGCTGTAGCTCACGAAAGCTTATGCTCAGATAAATTTGTTAGTCTCTAAGGTTCCACAAGTACTCCTTTTTGCGGATACAGACTAACACGGTTGCTACTCTGAAACTTGTAAAATATAGTTATTTAGCTATACATCTAGATAGACACAATATATATGAGTGCCACTTAGTGTCACAAGTTATTCTGTGTCCCAATAGTCAGCTTGGGCAACCAGGGAAATAATGAGATGTCTAGCACTCCTAGCTACTTCAGGATAGTGATATGGGCGGGAGCTACTGACTGTCCAGAGCTACCACAAAGAAAGAAACCATATGTCCATGATGGTCACTGGATGGGGGCGTGGGGGGGCAAATATTGTTGGGAGAGAAATAACAATCAGGTTGGTATGTTATGAGCTGGAGACAGAGGAGAGGGAGAGGGCAAATAATAGTTTTAAATCGCTCTTTTCCCCACAAAGTATGAAGCTACCCTTTCATCTGCAGCTTGTAGACCTGTTGCTGCATCTTGTCCACTTCCTCTTCTAAATACTTAGACCCTGGTCCTACAAAGACTTACACTTACACACATGCATAAGCTCACACTGTCAGAAGTCCCACTGAAGTCAGCTTACCACAGTGGATATGGTTAGGAATGTGCATATATCTTTGCAGGATCAGGGTCTTCACTGGGAACTGTGCAAATTCCAGATAGGATTTTACAGTAAAACGGGAGTTGAAAGGAACTGAAAAAGTAACTGAGCTTCTATGGATGGGAACAGGCAGAAGTGACCCTCAGAGAAGGAAGAGAGAAAATAGAGAACCAATATATTCAGAACAGCTGGGATACGGTGAAGAAGGAGCTTCTCCTCTCCTTCTACTAGGGACTGTTTTCAGTTGTAGAAGGCTAGATGTCATGATGTCCCTAAAACAGCTGTGCACCAATCAACATCCTACTGATACATACCGTATCACTGTGGTTATTTGACTAGCACCCTCGCTGCAGAAAGCAGGTTAGGGCAGCAGTACCTAGTGCAGGTTCTAAGCTAACCTGGACTAATTGACAGAAGCTCCTCGGGAGAGAGGTACTAGGGGCTGCGGGGAGAAGGGGGAATAAGTAAGGGCCCAGGGTGGGGTCACAAAGAGTGACAGCTTCCCACCTGCTCCTCCCAATGAACCCTGCTGCCCTTTCTGGCTACTTCCAATTTGCCCTCCGTTTTGGCCCCGATCCTGTCAGCTGTTGCATGCCGATGAGCCGCTTTGCCTCCAGGGGGCTCCAGGCACTGAAAGGGATGGCTCACGCAGAACAGCCGGAGGATCAGGGCCTAACCTGGGAGCACTGAACGTCTCTCCATTTGGTTTTCACAGAGGAAGGTGACTTGAAACATGCTGCTCTCTTGAAAGGACAGTGCGACTCCAGGGAGGGAAGGGGGAGCCTCACACAGTTTGTGATCGGCAATGCTGCGTAAAGGTCATAGACAGATAGGTGGAAGAAGAGTCCAGCTAGTGAAGTCCTGGTGTTGTCAGGAGGGGAGGAAAATTATCTTTTAAAATTAAGACATTCCAAACATAGATAAAAAGTTAGTTATACACGTAGGCCAGTTTGCAAAGGGGCTTCAGGCATATTAGCTGCCCAGCCTCCACTGCAATTCAGTGGCTGGTGAGTGGCTAATTCCCTTGGGTGTCTGTGACAATCCCAACTGTATAGTGGAATAGTACATATGTTAAACCGGTCCCATTCTGCTAGCAGAATAAGGCATTCCAGGATGTGCATTAATAGGGTTTTGGGGTATTTCTTGGGCAGATGAAAGTTACAACATCTGCAACAACCCCCCTACCAAAACACACCAACTTGTGGCTCACTGCTCTGTGTTACCGTAGTGTGAGGACATAGATACAAAGAGCCATGCCTTAAACAGCAGTGAGAGAACTCTGGCACCTGGAAATTCCCACCTTTTTATTAAGTTCCCTGCTGCAACACATCCTGGTCCTCTCTGGTGAAACTCAATGACCGCTCCACAGTTGCATACAGGGAAAAAAATCCTGCATGATCATTGACTGACAAGAGTCATTTGTTAGAGCCACTAAGTTTCTGTTATTTACTTCTTCAGAAGTTAACAGAATCATCAAAATGTAGGGCTGGAAGAGACCTGGAGAGGTCATCTAGTCCAGCGCTCTGCACTAAGAAATTTCATCTACTTGAAATCTAGTAAAAGGGTGTCTTAAAATTAGTTTAAGTATTACATTGCCAAGTCCCCCTTCCAATATTTATGGTTTAATAATTATGTTTTCCTGACTTTTTTCAAAATGCTTGTCAGTTCCATGTTGCTATGTGAAAGACCCACACAAACAGGGGAAACTGATTAACTCACCATAAAAGTGAAACAGAAACTGACCATATATGAAGGGCTGTCAAATGCTCAAAAGAACAAGAAAAAAAGGATTGAGAAAGATGTTTTGTTCTTTAATTTCTTTACGTTCTCGTTTCTTAGAACTGGAATTGGTAACAGTAGGTAATATTTTTTTAAAATGTGATTTTAAAATTGATGATGCCCTGTTACATTTTGGAGCAATTTTCTCAGTCAGACTCTGTATCTTTTCCTAAGATAATTTTGTGAAAAATTATTATTCACTTCCCAGAAGATAAATAGCTTTTAAAAATAAAATGATAGTTTTCTTTCCTCTTTGGGACATCAAATTTAAAAGGAAATAATTTTTTTTAAAAAATGGATACACTTTTGAAATTTATGGCCAGAGTGGAGAAGTTTTCAAATGGTATAAAATGTAATATACAACAGAAGTTTCTGGTGAGAACATTACAGATAATATTTTGCCCTCAGGAAAAAAAAGCTCAATTCCCTTTAATGTGAGTTGTGCATAAGTATCAGAGGACAATATTTAAAAAACACACACATTGATTTAATATTTCAGATTTATTGTCCATGAAGGAAAATATGGACTTTGTCTTCTGCCAGTTACCTTCTGAGTCAGTAAATCATGATCTGGGGTGGGTAAATCAGTATCTGCTTAATATACAAATTAGCTATCTTTTTATTATGATTATTTCAGTAAACTAACTTCTTTGTCCTTGACGAAGAGAGGTCAAAAATAAAAATGTACCTTCTGAGCAGATATCAGGTTCCCTGATCCTTGGAAAATAAAATAGCAGTTTGTTCTCACCACTGTGATTTTTTTCAAAGTTTTAGTGGAGCACAGTTTCAAAATTCTTCAAATAGTACTTGTTAGGTTTCTCCAAACTACTAAAGACCATTCATAGAGCCCCTTTGAGAATGCTAATTTTATGGGTTATGGAGTGCCACTGATTTCAAAGCATTGCTATTGAAATTGAAGGTTTTAAGCCTTCAAGAAGAGCAGCTGACTCTTCTGTACAGAGCGAGTAAAAACCTCTGGCAACTTTAGTAAAGTAATAATTTATCTACTGTTAAAGACACATTGTCCAGTAAGTGTTTCTTGTGCTTGACTTCCCCCTTCCCCACCCCACACTCCCCCTTAGTTTACTAGTATCTGTAAAGAGTACATCACATAGTGGAAAGAAAAACTGTTCAGTTTAACTGGTCAAAAGTACTCGTGTGCAATGCATATAACTCAGCACAACTCCAGGCCTGCATTTCTTTAGCTTCCGTTGTATCGATATGACAGGGCTGAAAGTTATTCTAACTATTCATGTGCGATGGTGCCATTGGCTAAATTGTGCTGGATGCCTGTGGGGTGGTTTGTGAGAGTGTGGAATCCATAAAGATTCTCAGATACTGTTTGGGGAGCCCTCACTGCCAATTCCCACAGTTTGTGTGAGTTCCTTCTTTGCCTCGGTTTAATTTTTGTTTTCCAGTTTGAATAATTTGCAATAGTTATCATTAGAACGTCTGTCGTTCATATGCATGAAAAGCTCCCTTTGGCTACAGTTGGAATTGCACATATCCTGCAATTCGTTCCTTACGCTTCTGTCCTGCAAAGATTTGAGCATATTTTAAGCATGCCATTGGCTTAAATGGGACCACTCACATGCTTAACGCTATGTGTGCATCCGTGGTTCATGATTCAGTTCTTACTGGCCTCTTCAACTCCACCTCTTCGGACTCTGAGAGCAGACATCCAAAGACAAATTTTTATCAATGGCTCCCACAGTTGCATGCACAAATAGATGCTTAGACGCTCAACCACCTGCCTGTGTGTGCAGTTAAGGCAGTTAGTTTTAAAAATGTGATTTTAATATATTTAATATACAGAATTTAATATATAACTCCGAATAAAGCTGAGTTGCACTTTCCTAAGCCATTCTAGTTCATTCTTTTTGTTTTAATTTTACATCCAGGGTTGATTTTTTTTCCCCTGTGGCGGCAGGTCTCTCTTAGGATTGGCTAAAACGTCGTCTCCTGGGAGAATCAGAGCAGCGTCAGTTGATATGGCACACATGCTGCAAATTGCTACAAGGTTTCACAATGAGTTTTATCAATTTTACAGACATAATAAAGAAAATAGGAAAAAGTAGCTAGGGAAAAAGTTTAAGGTTTACAAAATAATTGCAATTTCACAAAATTGCCTGTTTTAAGTATTTCAATATGTTAATTACAGCCATATGACTAGAATCACACAGAACCAGGAAATGCATTTAAATAAATGTGCATGCACTTTCTGGGGAGAGAAGGAAGCACATTGGAGCTGGCTTTCAAGGAGGTATTCATGGATTTTAGCACCTACAGGAATTTTGCAGCCAGTTTCCATTCAGACTGAATGGGAGTTAGGTGCCTAACTCCCGTAGACTTTAGAAAATCCCAGTAACGCCATGACTTAAAACCAGCAAAACTCTTTAATAAGTGTCCCTTTCTTCCTCCTGCATCACAGTGCAGTCAAGGTACAAAGTGCAGATCCGTTGTTAAGATCATCAACATGTTGTATACTACTGCCATCCTTCTGTACAAAATTATCCTTTCACATCACATCAGAGGAGAATTTTGTCGTCAGTCTCCAAGGCGAATTTATACAAAAATGTTTCCTAAAACACAGTTTGGCTGTTTTTTTCCTCCAAAATCATTATCCGTTGACAACTCAGATTGATGAATAGGATCTGAAAAAGAAAATATGATCTTGCGATTGTTATAATCTGGCCAAAAAGGGGCTCTTTTTCCTGAGACTCACGTGTTGCCCTTAGCCCATGTATGACAGTCCCATTGACTTCACTGGGAGTTCCCAGTGAAGTGAGTGTACCCGAGATTTTCATAAGTAACTAGGGATTTGGGTTTCAGAGTAGCCTCAATTTTCAGATGTCCCACTTGAGCCCCCTGAAAGGGGTTTGATTTTCAGAAGTCACATGCCCAGCACTTTCTACCAATCAGCACCTCTGGGGTGTTTCAAGCCGGACACGCCAAAATGGAGGCATCCAGAGTCATTGGTCACTTTTGAAAATCTTGGCTTGAATGTCTAATTTGGCCCATGGCAAAGAAGTACCATTCTTATGGGAGCTGTGGAAAAACTGCCTCAGCACCTTTTAACCCTTGAACACCCTTACCCGGGCTGGGCAGACATCCTAAGTGGGGATACTCGGCAAAATAAGAAACTGGAGAGTAGCCATTCAAAAATGTTAACATGCCACGCTTTGAAGAGGCAGAGAAAAAGGCTGCAGTTTAGTACGTGGAGGCAGTAATATCACTTATAATCTGTGGAGGATATTTCTTCGGTACGTGTTGCTCTGGTGCTAAAGTCACAAAGGGTATGTCTACACTGCGGCTGGACGTGTTCTTCGCAGCTCGGCTTGACGTGCGTGTGCTGGCTTTGGTCGAGCTAGTGCACCAGAATCAGCTGGGTGGACATGGAGGCGCGGTCAGCGGAATGGACTAGCCGCCCAAGTACAAGCCTGTCCGCGGTCTGCATTCAGGCAGCTAGTCTGAGCCACTTCCCGTACTGTTGCCACTGCACTGCTATATTTAGCAGGCTCATCAAGCAGAGCTAGCATGTCTGTCTCTCCCGAGCTGGGAGTTACAGCTCCCCGCTGCCATGCAGATGTATCTTTAGGGTGAAACCTTGATCCCACTGAAATCAATGGCAAAACCCTCATTGACTTCAGTGGGGCCAGGATTTCAGCCTTAATGCCTGCTCCCTCGCGTTCTTGGCTGGCCGGGTCTAGCAGCACCTCCGAGGGAAGACACTTGGTAGGATACTCCTCCCTGTCTTCCTGGATCAGATAGGTGGGTGGGTCCCAACACGCATACTTTGAAGCGAGGAGGGAGAGCTAAGAGTGACCCCCCGTTGCCCTGCCAGTCCTTCAGCTGCTGCGGTGCATTGGCTCTGTGCGCTACGTGGTACGTGAGCGGTGCAGCCCCTCTTTTCAGCCGAGAGAGTAGCGCAGAGCGGGATGGACGCGAATGCTATTTTCACCCTGTGTTTTTCTCACTTTACTTTACAAACCAGGACCCCCCTCTGCTCCTCGGAATGCCATCTCAAATGTTAACGAGACTAGTGTCTTCCTGGAATGGATTCCCCCGGCTGACACTGGTGGAAGGAAAGATGTGTCTTATTATATTGCATGCAAGAAGTGCAGCTCCCACTCGGGGCTGTGTGAGGCGTGTGGCAGTCATGTCAGGTACCTCCCCCAGCAAATCGGCCTGAAAAACACCTCTGTCATGATGGTGGACCTGCTTGCTCATACAAACTATACCTTTGAAATTGAGGCAGTGAACGGAGTGTCCGACCAGAGCCCTGCAGCACGGCAGTATGTGTCTGTAAATGTAACCACAAATCAGGCAGGTAAGTGGAACTTCAAAAGGGGCTAAGATTCTGGGGTGGGAGGCCCTGGCCATTCTGTGGGGTGGAACTCCCGTTGAAATAAGTGGAAGTAGCAAGACTGGGCCTTGAATCCTTTCCTATGTGGCGGTTGTTGTCCCCCCTCCGACCCCCATTTCACAGTATAATTACAGCAGCCTTGGAACAGCAGGAATGTTCACTCTCAGCAGGGTGCATTTTGGTCGTTTTTTTGTTTTTAATTAAACATGCAGAATCTTTCATAGCTTAACGTTTCCGTGTCTTCCCCCACTAAAACAAGAGCAACATAGTTGTCTCTCTTATTGGCAGAAGGACATCCTAGCGAGATCCTTTAGATTTCAGGTGTCACGCAGTTTAAATGGCCTGACTGGTTTAGCAAATGGCTAATTGATCTTGGAGTGGCAGCTGGAGTGGAAGTGAAAAGACAGAGGCTGTCCTAGTGTCCCTTTAGCGTCGCAGTGAAAAAATGAACGGATTCGGGATGGGGAGGTGTTGCTGGCTCAGATCAGGGATGTCATTGCTCATTGTCTCATTTCAATTTTGCGTCGTGCAAATGAAGATAGTGGGGAATTTCTCCCCCTTATCCTGGACTAGGCTCTGAGCAGAGGCAGGGTGCAGAGGGAATAAGGAGCCTGACCCACCTTGCACAGCCCATGTAAAGCCCAAGCTGATTTACACAGTTTGCACTCAGGGAGCACGGACACGGCCAGGGGACAAGGAAGCGGGAGCCATGGTCCTGCCCTCTACACGGGATGCAGCACTATGTGTACCCTTCTCTGCATCTCACACGCGCTGGTAGGCACTGTTCCCAGAGCCCTCAAAGGCCCTATCATGTTCTGCCTCTCTTAACTCTCCCTCTCTTAATGGTGCTGTATTGCAAATGGCCTTCCTTACTGGAGGGTTGAGTGTGGAACTCATGCTGTCCGCTTCCTGCACCTCCCAGGAACATGAGGTGCTCCTTCCTGCAAAGGCTTAGGACCCTGCTCCTCAAGCACAGCTGGCTAGTGGCATTTGGGAGCATGGGCCCATCTTTAGGATCTAAACTCAGAGCTCTTGCAAATACAGTGCACTGCTCTGCTGCCAGGTTCCCAAGCCAGCCTTTCCTGCTCCTTCTAAAGAAAATGCTTTTAACGGAGAAATCTGGCACAAGCTACTGAGCGACAAACAGATTTCAGAGTCCTGGCTGCAAAACAGAAGGATGCTAGGCTGAGCAGGACTGAATTTCATTCGAACAGCACAGGTACATGTTAGCAGGTTCAGCAGCCACCTGAGAGGGCATTGATGTGTTGTAACGAATCAAGTCCGTGCCCCGGTAATTAATTTGGATTGCTGATGTGTCAGGCAAACCATACGAATGTATCTCGAGGAGAGGAAATAAAAGCACTATTGGGTTACTGCTCAGTGCTGATTGACGTGACAGGAAGCCTTCAAGAGTAGCGCTGGCAGATGTCAGCCTGACACCTGCAAAACCACCTGTTTAATTCAAATAAACAAGTGTCATGGCCCTTAATGCAGTTTACCATTGGCCCCATCATGAAGGCTGCTGCCAGCAGTTCTCTTCTTGGACAAAACAAGTTATTGGGTTGATGTTAGCATTTCATACACAGCAGTGGATATTTCCCCAATGTGCTGAGCTAAAGGCACATAAAGCTCAATAAAGTAACGGTAGGTGAGAAGATCAGATATGGATGATCACCACTTTCTGTAAGGAAACACTTCCACCTTGTGAGTTATGCCAAAATCTCCCAATAGTTGTATTAGGATTTATATGCATAGCTGCCTCTCTGTGCACTGAGATAAGAACGTACCCACTGTACAGTTATTAGCAGATCTTTTGTGAGGAAAACTTACCCTGTGGGTTTTGGATGATAAATGCAGCTCATGTCAAAAAATAATGGACGTTATAGCCCTGATTCACCAGTGTGATATTCTGGATTTACGCCAGCATAACTGCATTGCAATCAGAGGAATCACACTGTAGTAGAACTGGAGTAACACAATGGTGAATTGGGCCCAATGTGTTTATTTCATTGCGCAGACTTGAAGCGACATCTTTATGCTTCCTCTGTTTGATTCAGTATGTCATGTTTGCACAATCCATTACGCATCCAGATAGACATCCTACAGCCCTGTCCAAATTGAATAATAGAGCCAGGAGAATGCACTATTTATGGTTCAATCTTCACTCCTTATTCAGAAGATGAGCAAGGTCTATTTGCATGAGCTAAAAGTTGCCGGATCTATATATCAAACATTCCCCTGAAAGAGCTTGGAAGTTTAGGTTGCTCCCTGCTGCTTTAGATACCATTAGATGACAAAGGTTAGAGGATCCTTTGCACTGGGAGTTAGAGCTAGAGGGGGAGATTTTACAAGTGGGAATTACTCACCTTAAGGTGGCATGATTGGGCTCCTCATCACAATGAACACAGTCAGAGATCAAGGGCCTAATTCTCCATTCCATGACACCCATTGCATGCCAGTATGGAACTATGCTTGCCTAAAACTGGTGGAGTGGGTTAGAGAATCAGACTCCTACCGGGTTGGCATAAGGACTGAACTGGAGGCGAAAGGAACCGTTGCTATAAGAAATACTGGCCCATGGAAATTAAAAATGGCATGTCATGTTGATAGATACTTACTAAGCAGCATCGCAGATGGAATGCCTGTTTTTTTTCTTTGTCAATCCCAAGACCTTGCTAATTTCAGAACTTTGAAAAATGCACAAACAGCAGGATATTGGCCACACCAGATGTTTTTTATATATGAAACCTTTGGCAACAAACAGTGTATCTGGTTTTGGGTTCCTGTAGGGATTGTTTCCTGAAAAATGTGTTTGTTTCTTAAGTAATTTCTCTCTCTCTCTCTCTTTTCTTTTTCTTTTTCTTTTTCTTTTTTTTAAATCGGCACCAGTAGCCAGTCTAGCATTTTCAGACTGATGTAATTTTCCTTTCTGACTGCAAGACATGTGTGAACCGTCTCGATTCAAAATTAGATTTGATAGTACAGCAAGAAAAATAGCTAGTTCTGTGTGCAAGATGAAAAAAATATTACAGTAAGCTGGAAGATGAAATTGATTAGCTAACTCTGGCTGATCAGCGTATGGAATCCAATAATGATTTTCTGCTGAAGAAGTTGAGTGATTAAATGATTAATTTATGACTGTCTATCAGTATTAAAAATACTGTCACAAACACAATGTCATTGGAATCTCTAGGAGGAGGATAATGAAGGATCTTGCTTTCATTAAACTGTTTATAAGAACTGCTGTACTGGGTCAGCCCACTGGTCCATCTAGCCCAGTGTTCTGTCTCTGACAGTGGCCAGTACCAGAGCTTCAAGGGGAATGTACAGAGCAGGGCCGTTGGAGTGATCAGAGGTTTAGGGTCACCCAGAGCATGAGGTTGCATCTCTGATCATCTTAGCTAATAGTAATTGATGGAGCTATCCTGCATAAACTTATCTAGTTCTTTTTTGAGCCCTGTTATATTTTTGACCATCATAACATCCAATGGCAGTAAGTTTCCCAGGTTAATTGTGTGTGGGGTGAAGAAGAACTTCCTCTTGTTTGTATTAAACCTGTTGCCTATTAAGGGTAGGAAAGGATAAATAACACTTCTCCATTCACTTTTTCCACACCCTTCATAATTTTATAGACCTCTATCATATCCCTCCTTTAGCTGAACAGTTTAGTTTTAGTTTTTTAAACTGAACAGTTCTAATCTTTTTAGTCTCTCCTCATATGGAAGCCATTCCATGCCCTTGATCATCTTTGTTGCCTTTCTTTGAACCTTTTCCAGTTCTCCTATATCCTTTTTGAGAGGGGGTGACAAGAACTGGACACAGTATTCAAGGTGTGAGTGTACGATGGATTTATATAGTGGCATTATGATATTTTCTGACTTATTTTCTATCCCTTTCCTAATAGTTCTTAACACTCGGTTCGCCTTTTTGACTGCTGTTGTGCATTCAGCTGAAGTTTTCAGAGAACTACCCATAATGACTCCAAGATCTCTTTCTTGAGTGGTAATGGCTAATTTAAAACCCACCATTATATATGTGTAGTTGGAATTATTTTTTCCAGTGTGCATCACTTTGCACTTATCAGCACTGAATTTCACCAGCCATTTTATTACTCAAGCACCCAGTTTTGTGAGATCCTCCTATAACTCCTCACAGTCAGCTTTGGACTTGACTATATTGACTAATTTTGCATCATCTGCACACTTTGCCACCTCACTGTTCACTCCCTTTTCCAGATCACTCATGAATAAGTTGAACAGCACCGGTTCAAGATATTAAAAAATAGGAGCCTAAAATTAGGTTCCTAAATCCCTTTTTAGAGTCCTGTTACAAAGCCTGGTTTTCCAAAGTGGTGAGCACCCACTGACTCCCTATTCCCTGCTCCTGGGGCAGGCAGCAGAGGAAGAAGGAATGTCGGGGGAAGGAGGTGGCAGAGGACACTAACCCTTCAAAGGGAACACGCAGGGTCCGAGGGGTGGAGGAGGATAATCTTTAAAGAGCAAACAGCGCCCACCTTAGACCTGGACTTTTCATTGCCCTACCTCATCCTGTCTACGCCTTCTAGAGTGGATGAGGTCGGGTCCTTCAGCGGGGGTCGGCACCACCATATTGCGCGACGGACACTTGATAAAATGACCGTACTTAGTGATGGACATTGTGGGAGGGGGGTTGTCGTTCAATTTTTTAAAAAATTGCCATGGACCTTAAAATTTTTACCACAGACACTCGTGTCCGTGTATGGACACGTTGCTGACTCCCTGTCCTTCAGAGAACAGTCTTGTTCACTGCATAGCTCAGATCTATTCCTTGGATGAAGCAGGGGTCCAGGGTGGGGCTGGGGAGGAAACTACTTGTGGTCATGTGATTAAAGGTGGTGTCATAACGCATTTGCCCAACTGTCTCATTTAAGGTTGCATAGGCATATTATGCATCATGTATCTAGGTCAGGCAGGAGTTGTGCAGAA